CGTTTCGCCGTTTTTATTCTAATTTAACACTAGAAATCCGTAAAACATCTGATAAAAACGGCGAAACAGTTTATTTTCACGGGGCGACCGGCCACTAGAACGCCAGTGGGACCGTTTTTTCACCGTTTTTTCTAACAGTGTATAATCTATTTAAATTGTATGTTTTAGCCAAACCTGGCACCATAGGTATTGCTTTTTTTCAACACACACAACCAAAAAGTTATTACTCATTATGATTGAAAATATTTCCCCATTATTTAAGATAAATTAAATATTTCTGTGAATTAACGAGGTCTGGAAAATACTTTGATGTACTTCGATCGGCGCTATATGAATCGATGAGATCAGCACTTAATTATTTCAATCGCTAGATAGCTGCGCTTCAGCTCTCCACCATTATCTTCTAGCCACGATGGTGATCGTGTACAGTAACATATCAGCTTATCTCCCATACAGCAATAAATGTGACCCATATTTCCTTCATAATATTGATTTTATCCTAAATTCCAATCAAGATTTACGTGTAGTGCGCGTGGTGAGATGGCGACCGTGCAGATGCGCTAAGGGATCCAGCTTTCAGGCATGACCTCGGCTATTCGAGATAATCTTTGCATACATTGCCGTCGTATTTTTCTGCGGCTCTCTGCGGCTTATTAAAATACGGCCTAAAATACGAGGTATCTCTTTGAGAGGTCACTGGGTACGTCCACTAGCGGCTGAGGCGCATGAAACGAACATCTCATGATGCGCTTATGTGGTATGGCATCCGAAAATATGTATAGGGATTTAATTAAAATTGAAATTGACTGCTTCAAATTAATCGGCTTCAAATAATTAATTATTTTATGACAGGAAGTCCAACTCTCCTTCATTCTACCGCAGTTTACATTAAGCCAGCAGCATCATGCTGCTCGTGTGCCGACATACCTAATTGCGTTTTGCTGCTCAAATTTCAAGCTCTTGATATCTTTTTCAAAGCTAGCAGTATTTTGGATTGAAAAGATAGAAATTATTATTCGAAATATCATGCTCTTGATATATTATTCAAAACTTACATTTTCTCGGATTAAAAATACAAATTATTATGCGAAATTTCGAATCAAAACAGTAACTATATTGCATGCGATAAGGTTTCTTCACTGGCGTCAAAGCTATTTTAAAAAGCGTTATATAAAAGCCGAGACCTTCAAACTTTATTTGAAGTTTCACAACTCAATAACCGCTAACCAAGCCAGCTTAGATCTTATTATGAAGGTTAAAGGTATAGGGAATGCCTATCATCAACATATGTTGTACCGCATCCCTTCTTAGGCTTCCACTGCCCACACGCCTCCGGATCCCTAAATTTGAGGTCCTTATACTGGCCACATTTTTAACGCCAATGTTTGTCAAACATTCCACAAAGTTGACTGTGCCCTTCAAGTCAAGAATTCCTGGGGCTGGAGTTGGATGTTCCTTGTTTGGCTTTGTAGGAGGACATTTCACTCACATATAATGCTTGCTTGATGGTTAAAAATAATAATGTTTGCGAGATAATGTCAACCAATCTATTGCTATAATAATAAGAAAAATTTTCGAATTCGTTTATATATCTTATATTTCTTGCTTCTGTGAATACAAACACGTTTAATATTAAGTGAACAATACTTCGTTGCGAAAGATTTTAAATGGAATCCAGGCTACTTAATTATATAATGTAGTACAAATGAAGGAAAATGTTGAAGTGGCCGTTTCTTTGCAATTAATTCTAGCATAGATCTCGCTTTTTGGATGACTGATCATACCCACCTGCAGAAACATGAAGCTAAGTCTCAGCTGGTATTATTTTCTCTGTCTAAATACATCTGCAAGTCATGATTTTAAAAATAATTTCTGGAAGCGAAAAACGAAAACAAAAAAATTCCTAGCGGAACGAAGCTTTGTCTTCAGTCTCGTCAGGCGTAGTTAATTTTTACAATAAAAATTGCATTTTAAAAATTTCACGAATCATTTCAAGCACAATTATTTGTGTTTTTTGGTCCTGTCTTTCTCGCTGCGTTCTCTAAAAAAATTTGGTGATCTTCGCACAAAGATAGATGATGGATGTATACAAACTCTCTGATGCTGCAGCAACACACGCTGATGCTGCAGCAACACACGCTGATGCTGCAGCAACACACGCTGATGCTGCAGCAACACACGCTGATGCTGCAGCAACACACGCAGATGCTGCAGCAACACACGCTGATGCTGCAGCAACACGCTGCGAAGCGTCTAATTGCAGTGGTTGCAACAAAACCTCTACGGTTGCAAAATTTGTTAAATTACCTCTAAATTAATTTCGTTTCTTCTTGAAAGCTCTGAAGAATTATCATCATGTCCATGTTGTTGTGAACGCACAAATCAGACGAACGAGAACTAAAAAAATGTATAAACGATAGACATATTCATGAATTATTCAAATTCGTAGTCAAGCTCTGTAGTCAATATGAACTTCAAATTCGTAGTCAAGCTCTGTAGTCAATATGAACTTCAAATTCGTAGTCAAGCTATTCTAGAGGGAAGTAAACGACTTGAATTCAACATGCTAGGGATATTTTTATGTAAAGTCCATGCAGCCCTGCAAAGTTTTATTAACGTAAACACAAACGAATAATACAAAGTGTGAATAACTGTTCCACATCCCTGAGGCTGTTTGTGTTAAAAGCAAGACCTGGGTCATCGTCTTGCCTTATGATTTATTATCGTACGCAAAAATAAGAGCTGAGGCCACACTTAACCTGATAAAAAAATTAACGCAGGCACTATTTTCCTACGCAGACTTGGGTGCTGAGAGGACATTTCCACAGCAAAAATGAGAGATGAGTGCATATTTTCCAAGGCAACTGCAAAACACGCTGATTGCGTAATTTCATGCGCAAAAACGAAAGCTACGTGCATATTTTTCAAGAAAAACGTTTGCTGGAAGCTTATTTTTCTGATCAAAATGCGGAAACCAAATGAATAATTTCATAAGAAACAAAAGAAACTGGATACATATTTTGCGTATATATTTTCACTCGCAAAACGAGTGCTGGAAGTCTATTTTTCTTATAAGCAGGTAAGAACTGAATGCATTCAAAACGAGTTCTGATATCGTATTTTTCTGATAAACAAGTAAGAACTGAATGCATTCAAAACGAGTACTGATATCGCATTTTTCTTATGAAAAAGTGAGAACTGAATGCACAATATCCCTTGCAAAAATAAGAGCTGAGGCAGTAGTTGTGACAGTCATGATGGCAGCGGCCGACGAACTCTAGCGAGCCTGCGTCATCGCCGCGCTTAGCAGACGCGCTGGCCACATAACGTTCCGAAAACAGGGGAAACTTTTTTTCTTCTGGTAAAATTGTAGATCTCTGGAAGGAAATTATCATGAAACCTCGTTTTAATTGGAATGAAGTAAGCAAAAAATTTTGATTTTATCTTGAGTGAAGTTGGGAAGAAAACTTAGATTTTCCTGATTTAAATTAGTAAAGAAAGTGAGTCTATCTTTATAGTGAAATTAGCAAACAATCAAATGCATGTAGAAACCAAAGATTTTGAGACGGCGAACAAGAAATGACAAAGAAGGCTGAGGATTAAATGTGCGTGATTAAAATTTTATGAAGATGATTCAGTTTTGGTTCCAAAATGAACTATTTACTATATTGAAACAAAAGAGGAAGACTAAGAGGGACATTGGATAAGGATTTTATTTTTTTATTCTATTGAAGCTTATTAAGTTAAAAAGTATCTCATAACTTGCTAACAGTAGTTATACATAAGAATAAAGTAACGGAATAGCCTAGGCATTATAGGTTATACACGACACAATATTCGAGGATGCGTGTACATTGTAAAATTTCAACATCTATAGAAGTGAAGACTCTTCTTATCATTTTCCAGTGCAGAAGTGAAAACAAAGAAGTAAATGAACAAATACTACCATTGAACTGATATAAAACTGATATTTAAACTGATATTTAAACCCCTGATAGAACCGCTACTCTACTGCCTGCTCGCTATAACTATTAGAAAACACCACGTAAGATCACCAACACATAAGGACATCATTTTATCGTCCTCCTGTTAACTGTGATGTCTTTATTATAGCATCGTGGCTGTTAAGTACTGTTATTATGAGCCCGTCAATAAGTTTATTATAAGCTGATCTATAAGTTGCCAGGGTAGTTCACGTTAGCTGTCAACACAGGCTACTCCCTCAGCCTATACTCAGCCTAGGCCGACGTAGCTTCTGCCATATCAAGCGCCTTGATATTTAAAATAAATAATTAACAGCTTTTCATTAAGTGAACGCCTGCTCCATGCTAATTTTTGACGCCCGAATGAATAATATGTGGTGCAAATAAATTCAATATTATATGTTAATACACGTAGTGATGTTAAAGTTCCTCAGCATTAAATATTATTTGAGAAAAGAGCGGACAAAAAGGGTTAAAATTAATTTTATTTGGTGAAAAAAAATTCATACGTGACACGATGTCACAACATGCAAAGCTCTACATTACAAAATAGATAAAATGATACAAAATCGATGCAATTTTATGCACATTTACTAGTAGGTTCTCCAGTAGGACTTCAAATTATAAATCTTGCTGCGATTCTCGATAGCCTACAAATGTTACAACATTAATGAATGTTATTAATGTTTACCAACATTTAATTACGTTTGTAGGTACGTAAACTAAGGCCAAAAGTTACGTTCTTATCTTATAATACTTATATGGTAATGAATTAAATATTTATAAACCCCCATCTTGATAAAATACTACATTGCTTCAGCTATTCCCACAGCCCAGAACATGGCAGCCATATAAGGTGAAGTTCGTCTCCTAACCCGGCTCGGAAATGTCACATTTGGCCCGGCATCCGCAGCGGGCAACCTCGGAAAGGCTGAGCACGTCTTTTTTATTCCATACGCAGTCATGGGGCAGACGCTCAGCACCATGCTCAGCACGACCAGTCAGTCGCCCGGCAGCCTTGTTAGCGTGCGGGTGTGCACGGCTCTGATCCACGCCTTCACGCCCTGATCAAGATTCAGGTATTTCAACTTCCGATTTTTTTTCCAGATGGGACTAGTTTGGCATTTTCTTCTGGTCACTATAGAGTATACATTAAAATTAAATTTTCAGTGACATTTGCATCCGAAAGATTTTTTAATAAGTTTATGAAATATTATCTATCTTGCTTAAAAATTGCCGAGTTCAGGGCGAATTTCCATGTGAGCCTCATTTGGCTGAGTTTGCATAGAAAATTTCTCATTTAAAATCCAAAGTTTGAAATATTTTTATTTATTATCCGTAAATAACGTCTTCAAATCTAAAAAAAAGTACTAAATCAGCGTCTTCAGCACTAAATCAGTAAATTAATTAGCGAATTCGGGGATTCCGTTTATTTTGCACGGACAGTTTAGGTTGAGATTTGTTTACTAAACGAGTGAAAATAAAATAATATTCAAGCTTAAAAAACCCTGGGCATTTTAGTTGGTTTACAATGAATCATAAGTTTTTATAATGGCAAGAGCCTGCGAGTCCACTTCTTTATGCATTTTTGATGACCATTTAAAAATCTTGGAAGCAAAATTTTAAATAATTTTGAATTTTTTTACCGTTTGATGGTCCAACATACGGTATATATTTCAAAAAAGCTAGGAACAATGTCATTTTTTTAACTTGTCTCCCGGTGTTTCTTAAATCCAAAATTGTAAGTAAAATAATAAAATTGATAATAATTAGGATAATTCAATGATAGGTCATAGTTTATCAGCAAAATGCAGAGGCCAATTATAGCCGATTGCAGACCAGACCACTTCTAGCTCGTTCTCACGTTAGGTGCCGTCGTATTTTGCAATGCGCCTTTTACCTGTTCAATATAACATTCAGAATAACATTACCAGCAGAACTTTAACAAAGCTGTAAAAGCTAAACGTTGAGCTCCTAAGTTATGTGATTTATATACCAGCGATTTATGTACCGGTGACCTAATACCGGCGATTTATATACCATTTAAACCGGTGATTTATATACCGGTGACCTAATACCGGCATTTCCTTCTACGTACGTCAGGTGCCGAAGAAGCTCTGCTCCGCCTAGCGTCTGTCAACATGACCGCGGTGAGTCATACGTGTAAAGGTTATGCTCCTTCATAACATGCAGCTGCAATATTGCTTTTTGTAGGACATATTCCCGACATATTCTGATTAACGTGTGGGGGCAATGGTACGCAATATAACATCACATATTAAGTTTGTGTCGGGAGCATAGCAGCGCGACAGCTTGCAAGATTATTACTCAAAATTGACCATTAACTTCAAATTTGGGAGTAACTGCCATGCCTATGTCTCTAAAAATGTGTTTACATTTTCCCGGAAGGGGAGAAGCTTCCCGCTATGTGCTAATTCATCATACGAAGGCCAATTTACCCCAAGAGAGTAGTTTATCTCAAGGAGGTAGTTTACCCTCAGAGAGTAGTTTACCCCAGAGGTTAGTTTACCCTCCAGGAGGTAGCTTACCCCCAGAGGGTAGTTTACTCCAAGAGGTTAGCTTACCCTCCAGAGGGTAGTTTACCCCATAGGTTGATTTACCCCAGAGGTTGGTTTACTCAAGTTGTACCACCACAGGTTTTTAGAATTCTGGGTGTTTTTACCTAGTATAATTCGAGGCTTTCTTTATAAAAGGGGAATTAAAGGACACCAGTTTGACATCACTACTTGCACCGCGTTGAGGTTTCCGGCACATCGTCTCTTGGTTGTAATTCCCATCTGTTTTTAAACTGTAATAAGTCATTTTCACTACATATTCAATACATTTCCAGCCAATAAACGCCAAGTATGTGGTTAAAAAAGTGTTTTAGATGGTGTGCTTGATTATTTACTGACATTGTTTATTATTTAATTTATTTGAAAGAATTGATCAAAAACTGGCTTAGTATGAAATAGGTGTTGGTGATGCAACTGATAAGCACCAACGGGTTTTCATGATAGTAATTAAGATTTTAGGCATATTCAATATTGTAAATATTCAATTCAATATTGTAAATATTTTAAATTCTTTTCAATAATTCGAAAAATCCATGTCTTCATGCCCCAATCCAAGTCAACTTGAGCATCAAATCGAGTATAGATTTGAAAGCAACTAAAAATTAAAACAGAATGCAATAAAAAGTTGTTTATTTGCCCCTAATTTTTACCAAATGAACATGGATACACTTTAATATCATTTAAATTTAATTACAGGAAGCAAATTTTCTCATCTTCGTCCTTCTGGCGACGTGCTGCAACGGCGGTCACTCGTCAGCGCTGCCCCTAAGCCTTCGTCGCGACTCAGCCCAAGATTCAACAGCGCAAAATTCAACACCGCAAGATTCGACAGCGCCGTCCGTTCTCGACGAAGTTCAACAAACTATAGCCATCTCATCATCATCAGACGCAGATCCTCTGATCTCGTCTGCTAGTGCAACCCCAGGAATATTTGCCCAAAACAACTTTTTAGATTACAATAAAAAGAGTGATAGCAACGTAGAGCTACCGGAAAATCTATCTCTAATTTCAACAACACAATCAAGGATAACAAATGGTGGATCAAATTCATCAACGCATCATGATTCAGCCGAAGAGAATAATTCTGAACGTGAAAATATATATCCTGTTAACGAAGATTTGCTACATCTTGACAAAGGCGCTGCTGTTATCGCCAATCCACCTGTTCTTGTCAACGAGGAAAAGATAACCGAAAGAGAGGAATTCTCAGAGAAACCAAAATTGGCTGGCAATTTTACCGTAAACCAGATTTCCACCAGTAGCCGTATTGCGCCAGATGAACAGATTTCGTTTCTAGGAGGATTTTTCTCCCCGGAAAATGAGACCACGACGGAAGGAGGCAAAGCAATAAATTCGAAAATATATTCAAACATAGACAATTACGAATCAAGGCGGGCGCTGAGGCCTCTGGCTAGAAGAAGAGGAAATGCAAGAACTGTGGCGACCTCGAAGTCTTCCATGAATAAATCCATGATGGTGGTAAGAAGAATATGAAGGATTGAAGTTGGAATTTTAGTATACATGATCTTTATAACGTCATATTAAAATCTTGGTGATAAGAAGATTATTGAGGAAAAATTTCTTCCTAACTTTACTTCACGAAGGGAATAAATTTTCAAATCATTAACAGTTTTTATTTTAATAAAGTTCTTAATTTTAACACTTTTTCATCTCCAAAAACAGTTTTTATTTTCAAATCTTTTACTTCTCAAATTTACATATAAGTTAACTAGGAATTTCCTCTCGTTCAAATCCAAACAAAAAACAACTGACCTGCTTATTTAAAGTTAAGCTCCATATACATCCATTCATTCACTCACACATACATAATTTATTGCGTGCCAGATGCCCTATCAGTTCGGGTTCAGCGTAGAGGACCCCAGCGAAGGAGTGTACCACCACAGGACGGAGGAACAGCCTAACTCAGGTCCTCTAGTAGGATCCTACTCCTACCTACGCTCCGACGGCGTCTACATGACAGTCAGGTGAGTATCTATTTTATTTTTTATTTCTATTGTATTTTTAGCGCATTTTCTCATTTATGGAAAAAATGCACTATTGTGCTCGCCATGTCCGTCCGTCCGTCCGTCTGTCCGTCAGTGACTTCACGTTTTCGTCGACGAGAAAATGTGCTCTCAGTCACTCACTGCAGTGAGTACTGAGTTATATTTTTTTATTGTTTTTTTTTATCTATCGGCTGTCATACCTATTATTTTTTCTGTTTACAATTTTCAATATATAAAGCTGATGATACTAACAAGTACATTAATGGAGAAAAGTTTAAAAAATGTGGATTGACTTCTGTTGCAACTTGAAGACAATTTGACGACATTTCCGGTTCCTTATCGATATTTTAATTCATTTGTAAACTAATCACTCATTGCGACGGGTGCGGACTAATTAACGTGTTTTTAAAATTGGATTTGTCTTCTCTAACATCTGTTGTGGTGGTCTTCATTTCCTAACTATTATATAGAAATTAATTTCGTATAACTTATATATAACTCTATAGAGTCTAGATTATTATTTAAATTCCGAGTTTTTCTCTTCTTAAAGCCTGTTCGCGCAGAATAGCTCAGGTTACATTTAAATTTCATTGTAGTTAAATAAGATTTTTCTAATTTAGTTCAATTTTGCAACAGATACACAGCAGGAAAAGACGGCTACAGAGCGCGGGTATACGAGACAACTCCCCCCGACAGCACTCGACTGAAGGAGACCTCGCTCACGAAGGCTGGCAACCGCAAGCAACCAACACTTGCTCGACCTGCCGATCCCGATGTCATCAGGCAGGAGGCCTCCAATAACTACTTCGTTCAACAAAACATTAGGGATTCAAACTCCCCAGCAAGTCTTGCTAATAAGGACACCCCAATCGTAGGCAAGACCTCCATTGTTCCTGGCGTTACTTACTCAGATAAGACAAAAGCTGTGGGGGTAGTTGGAACGTCTGTATTTGGTGGACCAGCCGTAGGCCAAAATTTTGAAGCCATTCCCTACCAAATCAAGACTCAGCGTCCTCAAGCCATTCTCGGTGCTCCTGCATCGCATTTAGTAAGTGCTATTCATGATATATAAAAAGTTTTGTCTCATAATTATAATCACCTTTTTGAGACAGGAATTAGATTCGACTTATTTTCTGTGTTGATACCTTCGTTAAATTTCAGCGCCATAAAATACAAACCGATTATATTCAGCTATTAATTATAATTAAAGTATATCTGCCATCTTAGTTGGGACTATAAATACAAATATAAATTTTTACAGGGTTTTGTTCGAACGCCTTCACAAATTCTAAGAGAGAAATTCCGTGAGACGTACCAGGCTCAGCAAAACTACCAAAGACAGCAGCTTGAGGAGCTTCTCAGACTCCAGCAAATCAATCAACAGAATCAAATACGCGATCAACAAACTCGACACGAGCAGCAACTTCTGAATTTCCCGAGCCTCATTCAACCACAACCAGTAGATTCTGGGCAATTTGTGGTCAATCCATCAGTTAGTGATGCAGTTCCACTAGGTAATGTACCTGTCGAATATGAGCCCCCTATGCGAAATTTAGGAACCGATGCTACAGATTATTTACCTGACAGCGAAATTCCTATTAATGTTCAGTTGACGCCTGCACCTGTGAGCATCCCTACTGACGATGAAGGAGCGAGCGTTGTATTTAATGAGGATCGAATTCAAGTTCAGGATTTAGAGGCAGGCGAATTAACAACCGACGATCTCGTTGAAGAAGATTTTCTTGTGGGGGCCGAAAATGCGAAAAGCAAAGTCGCTGATTTGGAACAAGAAAACGGAGTGTTGAAAGAAAACTTTGAAAAGAAAGAAAACGATGTTATCATAGAAAACGTAACAGCGGAAGCACATTTATTGCCGGATCCTGCAGGGCCTCTAGAGTACTTCTTTCCTACGACAAACACTGGGAAAGAAGAAGTCACTTACCCTGAGAATTATCAGCCTGCTTCGTTTGCACCGAATTATCCCTTACCGCAAAAACTCTACCCTGTAGTGGAGGCTGAAGGCACTCGCCAAAATCAACACAATAATCATTATCAGGCGCCATACCATTATCAAGAACCACTCCTGCCTCACACACAATTACAGCCTCAAGGACAGTTACCTCTTCATCTACCATTCCAGCCTCAGGAGCAATTGCCGCTTTTCCAGATTCAACCACAGTTACAAAATCAACAACCATTCAACACATTCAATTATCAAGAAAAATATCAGCCTCAGCAACCAGTCCAGCATCAGCAACCAGTCCAGCCTCAGCAACCAGTCCAGCCTCAGCTACCAGTCCAGTCTCAGCAACCAGTCCAGCCTCAGCAACCATTCCAGCCTCAGCAACCAGTCCAGCCTCAGCAACCAGTCCAACCTCAGCAACCAGTCCAGTCAGTTTCAGCAACCAGTCCAGCCTCAGCAACCAGTCCAGCCTCAGCAAACAGTTCAGTCTCAGCAACCAGCACAGTTTCAGCAACCAGTCCCGCCTCAGCAACCAGTCCAGCCTCAGCAACCAGTCCCGCCTCAGCAACCAGTCCAGCCTCAGCTACCAGTCCAGCCTCATCAACCAGTCCAGCCTCAGCAACCAGTCCAGCATCAGCAACCAGTCCAGCCTCAGCAACCATTCCAGCCTCAGCAACCAGTCCAGCCTCAGCAACCAGTCCAACCTCAGCAACCAGTCCAGCCTCAGCAACCATTCCAGCCTCAGCATCCAGTCCAGCCTCAGCAACCAGTCCAGCCTCAGCAACCAGTCCAGCCTCAGCAACCAGTCCAGCCTCAGCAACCATTCCAGCCTCAGCAACCAGTCCAGCCTCAGCAACCAGTCCAGCCTCAGCTACCAGTCCAGCCTCAGCAACCAGTCCAGCCTCAGCAACCAGTCCAGCCTCAGCAACCAGTCCAGCATCAGCAACCAGTCCAGCCTCAGCAACCAGTCCAGCCTCAGCAACCATTCCAGCCTCAGCATCCAGTCCAGCCTCAGCAACCAGTCCAGTCTCAGCAACCAGTCCAGCCAAAGCAACCAGTCCTTCCTCAGCAACCAGTCCAGCCTCAGCAACCAGTTCATCATCAGCAACCAGTTCAGCCTCAGCAGCCCATCCAGCCTCAGCAACCAGTCAAGCCTCAGCAACCAGTACAGCCTCAGCAGGAATCTGTTCAGCCTGAGCATTCAAAATTGTCTTCAGAAGAGCACGCTCAACCTCCCCCTCAACCATGGAGCTTCCACCACGACCAGTCCCATGCCCAGGTTCACCAGCCTCATGATGCCCAGACGCCAATTCGATACCCTGTATTCCCCCAGTCTCCTCAATTAACTCCAGAGACTTGGAGTCTTCCACCAAAATGGCATCCTCAGCTTCAAATACCCTCTGCCTTCTTCAATGAGCTGAGACCTTATAGCGAAGATCATCTCTTGCAACAAAACAGCAAATCTGACGGCGATAATAACAGAGGAAGCTCGAGTGTTGGAGCCAGCCAGTTCCCTGTCTATCCAGAAACTGATTATGCTGTGCTTCAGTCCTCAGAAAAGACACAACAAGCAAGTCACATATCCGGGATACCAGGTCCACTTGCATACCCTGCCGCTTTTGGGAGAGGAAGTGCTCCAGTTGAAAGACCATCAATGGTTGAAAGACCTTCGCGTTTCAAAGTGCAAAGTAATTACGATACTTCTGTCTATGAACCTTCGACTGTGTTTTATGAACCCAGTATTCAAAACCTAGGGCTTTTGGATTCAACCGATGACGGCCATCTTCTTCGTGAAGATCATATTAGCGGTGATGGACGACAGCCCGAAACTCCAAACGCACTTTCCCCTTCTGTTCAGCCTTTGAAGTGCACACATGTCCAATATGAAGAAGATGTGGCAAATAATCCCGTGAAATATCAAACTTTAGACAAAAAGGATCAGGATGTGAATGTTCTATCCATCAAGCATTCGGTTACCGAGTCTAAGCCGTTGCTTGGTGGCTCATTTGGACAATCTACCACTGAAATTTCTTCAGATTCGAATCCAACGCTCAATTCAAAAATCAATTTGCAAACAAATTTAATATCAGAAGTTGTTCTTGAGCCATATATTTTAAAATTTCCGTACAGATTTGTCCAGCCTGCGGATCGACACAACAGCCTGGCGGCATTTCCATTCGTCTTGGGAGTTCAGCCGGCATATCCACAGATGACCGTCCCTATGTGGTATGTTGTTGATCGAGAACACGTGCCCAGCATTTACCCTACGCTTCCTTTTACATCAAATACTTCGACGCAATCAACCACGTTATCATGGCCGAATTGGATGCCCGGAGCTTTTCCAACTTCAGGTGTTACAAACTTCCAAAGCATACAACACGCAGTGACAAGTCATACTCAGAACACCCAGCAAGTGAAATTTTTCCCCTATCCTCATATAGTAAATTCCGTCGTCCCTCCATTAACTGTAGTAGAATCCAAACCGGAGGAAGATTTTCAGCACGAAGCTGATTGTTCATGTGTCCGGCATCAAGTTCGGAAAACTGGCGCGTTCAAGACAAATCCTTTAGAGACATTCAGTGATAAATATGACCATCTTGTTAAAATGACCTCTAAGCTACCCGTTGCCGATCAAATATACTTCAATACTATTTTACAACACATTAATGAATATGGAGACCTAACTGACAAACTGGAAGGTAAATCCATTCCTGATGATCAACCAGTAGCGAACAAAGTCGAAGAGTATCCTCTGGAACCGTTTAAGAATTTAGAACAGAGCGAACCTGCAACAGGACCTCAGACGGCCATCTACGCCCTGCCAGAGAACGAAGCTGAACTGACAACTTTTACGTCGACAGAAGATTCATCCGAACATATTGGTGTCCAGGCAACAACTGAAGTACCTGCATCGAACATTGACCAAGCCATAGATTATTATATTGGAGAAAACAATGAGGAAAATTCAGTTTTGAGCACATCAAATGATAAGCTTCATTCGCCACTGACGTTTGACGACGAAATTCGTTCACATCAATCGCTTGCCGATTCCCAAGATTTTGAAAATGAGGTGAAATACGTCACCACTGAGCCAGCACCTGCAGAGAGCGACATTGCTGGTGTCGAAACCTCGTTCGTCGATGGAACTTCGGTCAAATCCAAATCTGAAACAGAGCCTGTGCAACACTTTGTTCCATATGCTGCAGACTTCAGACAGGATATTTCAAGTGACGCATTCCAAGGTGAACGAAACCCATTTTTAGTACAGTCAATTATTGGAGACGTACAGCAAGACCATGACGTCAATACCAGTTTGGTTTCCGAGAACCATGATCCAGGATTCGCAGTTGTTGACGAGGTGGCGCGGCCTTCGCAAGACGTTCCTCGCAAGGTTTCGATCTCAGGACCACTTAACCCGGCAGCTGCAAAATTCGGAGCGTTACTTCACTAACTAACAGGATCTCTTTCTTCGATTATTTAGATGACGTTTACCAGGTTACATTTTAAGGGTAAATCCTAATGATTCCATTCAATACATCTAATTCATCTGATATTATTATGAATTACATAATTCATCTCTTTGCTCTTATCCTCATTTGATATTCAGTCCAAATGCAACAAAAAGTCCTTAAGTAACATCGATCAGTTGCTGCTGCGCTCGCCATGGAGTCGAGTTTATATTTTAGGTGATCGCTGAATTAGTTTAATGTTCGCTAAGCTATAAATTTTGGGCAATTTTGATGTCTGAATTTACAACGTTTTTAGCTGAAAAATGATCATTATCATGTATAATGTTAATAATGAAAATTTTAAAGTAAGCATGAAAAGAAGGGCATTCGATATCTTCAGTCTCTTGAAGTTAACTCAGAATAATTATTATGTTTAGATATTATTAAAAGTTTCCTAAAGTAGTGAAAGATTCATTTAAAACTCCAGATTGATTATTTTTCACTCAATTCTGGATAGTTGGTCTTATTTTATGGACGGAGTGAGTAATTTCTAAAATATAAGAGTTTATTCTAAAACATGTTTCATACCCTTAACAGGTTATAATGCGATGGAATGTCATGTAATTCACAGTTTTTCTATGAACTTTCAACCGCTTTACTTAAAGAGATAAATTAATAACCCTTGCCTGAAGTGAACTTTCAAGTCAGTCTTTAATTGCCAGCCACTCAAGTGTGAATAATGACATCAGCAGGCATTCAATTTATAATCTCAATACAAATGTGTTCGATCAGGGGATAAAAATTTAGGAATTATGAACATTGAATGTATAGAACAGTCATAAATTCTACATGCTTACAAAATTTTAGAATGAACAAAAGGAAATATCAATACCGAGCGGCAATCGATTCCCGGACGTATACCGTTCAGGAAATATAAAATAAAAGTCAATCCAGGACATAAGGATATAGTAATTTACAAATTTTATGAATTAATTCTCAATTTGTGTGTGAATTTTCGTGAATTTGCGATGATAAATATTACAACGAATCGACTTAAGCTATTCGAAATTACCGGTCGTATCACCTATAAAATTCTACCCTCAACCATAAAATTCTACCTCAAGATCGTCTACCCTCAACGCCTATACCAATGAGCAGAGGTTATTTGAAACACGCTTAATATTTCCTATCGGCTTGACAAGCAAGGTTTACTCTGGACGGTATTTGAAACGCAAATGACAAAGCAAAGTTAATATATTTGAAGGCAAACGGCACAATGAATATGGTAACGCATCAAACGCACGAGGAGACCAACTAATGACAAATCTGATCAGACTAATCGCGAATCGCATTAACAAGAAAAGTAATACTAATAACTTGGATACGAAAAGAGAGCTTGAACTTTATGAGATCAAGTTCCGTGATCCTAAGAAACCATGGAATAAATACCTAATCATTACAAACTAATTATCTGTTCATTGTTTCACTGTATTTAAAAAATTTATACGAATTACATAACCATTATACGCAACAACTTTTCATAGCGTTGGAGTTGGAATCCTATAGAAGAGCCGGTATACGCCGGTCGGAATTAGCAGCTCAGAGAGTATTAGAAATTAGCCTACAGAGAGTAGGAAATTTGTAACCTATTATGTTAGAAATATACATAATTAAATATCATCCGTGAATGATCTGAGTAATGCACAATATAGGGAATAAAATATTTTTTCCAAGATAGAGTAACTCAGAACTTCTAATTAAATCTCAATATACAGTACATGATATACATATATTTAAATACAGAATAATTAATGAATGTAAATGTAAAATACAGAATAATTAATACATTCAGAGCAAGTCACACTCTATACAGAATTAATTCATTCAGGATCAAGTAATTCACAATTTTCAGTGATAATTCGGCAGCGGATGCGGCGGAGTTGGGACTGCGCCCATAATGTCGACCCTGAAGTGCACCGCACAGTTGCGTGCTTAACTTTAACTTTGGTGTGCTTAACCCTCTACCGCCGTATGTCACTCTCCGGGAACATAACTTTAACTTGAATTATACGTGAACTATTGAGTGTAGCAACCTGAGGACGTTTGTACGCAACAGAAAACATTTTAAAGTTGTCGTACGTGGCGGCAACCATCAGTGCAAGTCATTTTGCGCTCACTATATATAGAACGTATCCTTTTTGGGAAGTAGGCGCGTGACAATATTGCTCTGGTTACTCGTATCAGGCGGTAGAGGGTTGACCGTCCGGTCAGCCGGGCCACCTCGACGATTTTGACAAGAAATGTCTCTGGATGCCGAGATAGAACCCGTAACGCATTGCTCTAGTCATGGTACTCTGAACAGTAACCATTTGGCCCCATTGCGCAGTGGTCCAGAAGGCCACCCTCAACCTTTTGTTCATATGTTTTTTACTGAATTGAAGTATTTTTTTTAATTGCTTAATTTAAGATCGCATATACTTGTATGATTCAAAGTCGTTCAAAATTTACGTGAATTTCTTTGATTGGATTACATGAAATACCATTATTTCAGCCCCATTGCTGTCATCGGCTAGATGGTGTCTCTCAATAATGGCCAGTGTCTGAATTAATTGGTTAAAATAGCTGATATTATCATCTAAAGTCTGCTCACGACCTCTGTTTGCGAAAGTTTGTTAGAAAACTTTCTTTTCGGACAATTTCATGCGCTCCAGGTCTTAGTACCCGAATCCCAGTGAAAATTGACAGACGCGGCAGCTTCTGATTTGGATTACCAGAAGCTGGGGCGATGTGAAAACTTACAGACGCGGCAGCTTCTGATTTGGATTACCAGAAGCTGGGGCGACTCTAGATTCTGTTGGGATGTTCAACCCCTAAACTACACATGTCTACCACACACGAACATAAAACAGCCTCTTTCCACCTTCATTTATTTTCAAGTTAGTCATTGAGATTAGAGAAAATTCATGCTAAATGTTGTTTTAATCATAATAATTATAAGAGAAATAATATTTATGTTGAATTTATATCGCAGTACAGGCGGAAGTGACCACATCCGGCTGTGCTGCGTCGAACAATCGCGGCTGCAGTTAACAAAATACTGAGAATTTTGTTCAGCCAAAAAATTCAGAGAAATTCAGAGAATTTTGTGCACGAATTCAAAGAATTTTGTTCGGTATTGAACACAAATTTATGTCATATGTTAAATATACGCGTATATTTATTACCTCAATAATAATGCCTGTGATGGATTTTAACAATGATTATTCACCCGAGTAACAGACTGTGTTTAGTAACAAATGAATCGTAATTAAAAAATTATTTATCATTACCAAGTGAACGCTAAAAGGTTTTTCATTTAAAATAGAATCTGAAACAGTGAATACAGTAATATGCATGCGGTGTAACAGTGAATGCAGTAAACAATTGATGTGCATGCAGTGTAACAGTGCGCAGTAAATACAATATCAAGAAAACATAACAAAATATTAAGTAATGCTAGATCTTCAACAAGGTCATTCATCAGAAGCACAAACAAGTATAGCACACATTATAGGATATAAGAGTTCACTATAGAAGTGCGTTCGTAAATAAAGTTAAGAATAGAATAGAATAGAATAGAATAGAAGTGTCGGCGTTGAAGAAATAGGCCCATGGCCTGTTTGTCAGGAAAGTACAAATGTCAGGAAAGAACTTCATATAGTAACAGCACACGTGAAAATCACTTGCATTACAATTAAGATGCAACAGTTTCCAAATCTGCAACGAAAACAGTGTTCATTTCAAAGATAACAGTGCTCAGTCTTCACCGGAAGACAGTTTACGAAACGTCTTCATATCTACAGCATAAGCACAACAATATGGAAGTTTATCCAGATTTTCTAGACTTGTCATCTTGAAAGACATTATTTAACGTACAATAAATTTTACAGCTGAAAATCTTGAAGACTTTTTCGTCCAAGTGTCAGGACAGTCAATCCTACAATCCTAGTTGTTATGTTTAAAAGGAATAGCCTCGCTCAGCGGCTTCAGTTGCATCTGAACCTTGGCGGTGGAAGGTGTGTCTTGACTCGTCTCTGATTCTCACTCGTGCTGCCACTCCATCAATATCATTTCAAGGTGAGTTTTGTCAGTTTTTATCAATAAATAATGTACTAAAGCAACGTTTTTAAGCGAATGTGTAAAATAAACCGTTAAACAAATGTGTAGCGCAAGCAAACGAGTTGAGTAACTGATTGCCATAACAGACATTCATTATAACTTCCATAGACTGGCATCACACTCAAAGAAATGTGAATACTTTGTCTTGATAGTGATGCGCATTGTACTTTTGTGTGATTCAAGCTCACCCATTTTAGCCCGGCATAATGGCTATCAGTGCTATACGTACTGAGAGTGTGTCACCATGTATACAATACGATCCACAGAATTTTCTGAGTGCATTCTATTAAATTCTATTTTACATTTTCTATATTTTCGCTCGATTGCGATGACATCACTAGGGCTGTTATACAGATCAGACGAGAAGTGGACGACGATATTTACGTAGCGTGAGATTTGAATTTTCTTGTTTTCATACGTATTGTAGCAGGCATGAATTCACTATGAATAAATTTCAGAATAAATTAACTGGTATGATTTTATTTAATAGGAAATGTTCCTCTCCTGTGCGTGGTCTTCTGTTAACGTTTCTAATTGAAAATTTTAGTGATATATAGTTAACTACTTACATATAGTTAACTACTTATATATAGTTAACTACTTACATAGAGTTAACTACTTATATATAGTTAACTACTTCTATGTAGTTCATTACATATAATTCAAGATATTAGTTACACTAGTCATTAATTACCTATAGTCTCCACCAGGCCTTGCCTTAGTCATTAATTGCCTAGTCTCCACCAGGCCTTGCCTGAGTAATTACCTAGTCTCCACCAAGCCTTGCCTGAGTAATTATACCTAGTCTCCACCAAGCCTTGCCTGAGTCATTACCTAGTCTTCACCAAGCCTTGCCTGAGTCATTACCTAGTCTCCACCAGGCCTTGCCTGAGTCATTACCTAGTCTCCACCAGGCCTTGCCTGAGTAATTACCTAGTCTCCACCAGGCCTTGCCTGAGTCATTACCTAGTCTCCACCAGGCCTTGCCTGAGTAATTACCTAGTCTCCACCAGGCCTTGCCTGAGTCATTACCTAGTCTCCACCAGGCCTTGCCTGAGTCATTACCTAGTCTCCACCAGGCCTTGCCTGAGTCATTACCTAGTCTCCACCAGGCCTTGCCTGAGTCATTACCTAGTCTCCACCAAGCCTTGCCTGAGTCATTACCTAGTCTTCACCAGGCCTTGCCTGAGTCATTACCTAGTCTCCACCAGGCCTTGCCTGAGTAATTACCTAGTCTCCACCAAGCCTCGCCTGAGTCATTACCTAGTCTTCACCAGGCCTTGCCTGAGTCATTACCTAGTCTCCACCAAGCCTTGCCTGAGTAATTACCTAGTCTCAACCAGGCCTTGCCTGAGTCATTACCTAGGTTGCACGCACGGTCACGGAAGCGCCCGCAATTCGTGATCCCTGAATCACGGAGCGACATGAAGCGCAATTCAACGGCAGACGCGGACCGCTGAGCGCCGGATGAACCCGGCTACATGCGGCCAAAATCTGTAGCTGTAGCTCTTCGGGTCCTGGTACAGTTACTCGACAACTCCTGGTACAGCTACTCTACAACTCCTGGTACAGCTACTCTACAACTCCTGGTACAGCTACTCTACAACTCCTGGTACAGCTACTCGACAACTCCTGGTACAGCTACTCTACAACTCCTGGTACAGCTACTCTACAACTCATGGTACAGCTACTTGACAATAACTCGACAAAGTTGTATATCTCAAAGGCCGTTTACCTCCTTGTCATCCAATAAATATTCTGAATAGCTGCATTATTACGTTGCCAAGTATAATGGCTTCTACACCGCGTACAGTTCTTGAAGCTTTACCGTTGTAATGTAGTATGGCTCAGTCATGGTTCGACAATATTTTTTACTGCCTACAATTCGCGCGCATCAATTAGAATTTGTGCTAAGTCATGCCACAGCTTCGGATCGTTGTCGCAGGATGCAAACCAATGCAGTGTTTCAACATTATTTAATTTGTTTCATACTGTTTTTTTGCACTAAACTCGTCGCTCAGTAAATCTCACGTGGCTCATACCTCTATTTTCTATCAATTTATTCATTTTATCTAATTTTATTCCCTGCATTGTTTTACTGTGAACGTCCAACCCATCATGTGAAACCGAACAGTCACTTATTTATACGCCACGCGTCCAGTAAAAGGAGAATAAATTATATGAGCTATTAACACTAATTACTATTTAATATCATTATTTACTTTTTGATATAATTATTTACTATTTAATATCAATATTTACTATCTTTAATTGAACATCCGGCCGGTCGCACATTACAGCTACTTAATTTAGTACAACGCGGTTGGAATGTGAAAATTAAAATTCTGAGTTTGTCTTCATTAACATTAATTCCTACCCTACATGCCAAATCCGCTATGTCGCACCCGACCGTATGCTAATTTAGTAACATGCGGTTAAGAGTGAGAAAATAAAATTCAGTTATAAGCTGTGTCCCATTATCATTAAATCTTACTCTATGTTAATGCCATATATTATCATACTTTTTACCCTAAATCTCTCCCTGTATGCCACATCCGTCATGTCATGTTAAGTTAGTAACACGCGGTTAAGAGTGAGAATATAAAATTCAATTCTAAGCCTCTACAAATGCCATATATTATCATACTTTTTACCCTAAATCTTACCCTGCATCCGTCATGTCGCACCGACCGCATGTTACCCTGAATGCCAGGAGCCCGGAGCACTGAGGCAGGTCCGGCAGGTCCGGCTTTCTCTTGACGCCTTTTTTGGTGAACGGTTTCGGTGGCCGTGCTTGTAAGATGACAACTTTTTGCTCCGACTGTCCAGTTGACCTATAAACTTGGCATCATTATTCCGAATAAAGAAGCTTTCAATGCTTGAATTATTCGTACTAAGATGTAATTCATTTTAGTTCCCAGTAAATTCTTCAATTTTATAAATAAATTGGGTTAATAATATAGCCAAACAAAGCTATAGATTGATAGGTATAGTCTATTGTATATTCATACATAGACGTTTCCATGGTCTAATTTAAATCACAAATCTTGCTTATTTAGACCCAGAAAAACGTTGTAAAATATTGTTGACAATATCTGTATGCCAGCATATGGATTTTATGATTTTATGATTTTAATTTTCCGAAACCATCATTGTTCCCGTCTCTTATCGGAATTTTTGTAAACGTTCATATTAATATTAAAAAATATGATATGTTCTTCCGAACAAGTAACAACCGTAAGACCATGCAAGTGATGTTGTTACCATTTATTAGAGATGCTTAATGATACCTTGACACACTCAGAAATATTCAGATATTTTGTCCAAATAGTGATGTAATTCATGCCTATGTATGGGCCATCCTGACCCATTTTTTCCTGGCAAATGGCCGTATTAGTGCTACGTGCAGCAAGTGCGTCACTATTCGGACAAAATGAACCATTTACTTCTCTGCGTGCTGAGTACGAAATAATATGTATATCCTCGCTACGACAGCTTAACTCAACCGATCTTTCCGGTGATTATTTTCCTGGTGTAAACTCATTTATTTATTCGGCGTATAAATTTATGACTGTCATGAATAAAGACAGTCATAAATTTAAAGGTTATTTAGAGTAGTTTGAATTCTCACAAGCCATTATCTCTTTCTATCATTCATCATCATTTGTCGAGGAAGCAGACAGTGATTGCGTTCCATCATGCCGTCCCATCATGCCGTCCCATCATGCCGTCCCATCATGCCGTCCCATCATGCCATCCCATCATCCCGTCCCATCATGCCGTCCCATCATCCCGTCCCATCATGCCGTCCCATCATCCCGTCCCATCATGCCGTCCCATCATGCCGTCCCATCATGCCGTCCCATCATGCCGTCCCATCATGCCGTCCCATCATGTCGCCCCATCATGCCGTCCATCACACTGACATGACAAGAGCCTGGCGTGGGACGCCGCTTATCTATCATCGTCATCAAGAATCATGAATGATAAGTTATGATAATTGTGGGTGGTGCACATACCGTGAGTCGTTCACCTCACATGTGGTGGAGCCATCACAAAGTCATCACTCGTGTGATGCAGAACATGACACTTCATTACAATGATTTATTGGTATAGAAATTTCATGCTTAGAAATATACATAAACATTATATTACATCTACAGCATAACTAACGTAGATTCTTTATAAACGTTGCTGTAGATATGTAGATACATCATGCAGATTCATGGTTTATATATACATATATTTTATATATGAATTCCTCATTATAGGTGCCGTCAGCGTAGCAGGTTCCTATAGGTGCAGCAGAGGCAGCAGCGTTAACTGCAGCAGCGTTAACTGCAGCAGCGTTAACTGCAACAGCGTTAACTGCAGCAGCGTTAACTGCAGCAGCGTTAACTGCAGCAGCTAACTGCAGCAGCTGTAACTGCAGCAGCGTTAACTGCAGCAGCTGTAACTGCAGCAGCGTTAACTGCAGCAGCGTTAACTGCAGCAGCGTTAACTGCAGCAGCGTTAACTGCAGCAGCGTTAACTGCAGCGGCGTTAACTGCAGCAGCGCTAACTGCAGCGGCGTTAACTGCAGCAGCGTTAACTGCAGCGGCGTTAACTGCAGCAGCTTTAACTGCAGCAGCGTTAACTGCAGCAGCGTTAACTGCAGCGGAAGAGCGCAGGCCGCGAAGGTCACTTATGTTACACAGGAACTGCACTTGAGCGGCTAACCATAAAATCATCAGATATTATCTAGATTTTATATCTTCAATGACAGTCCGGTACGCAATTTCTGGCATGCATGCAGTATTTATTCAAGGCCAAAGTCTGTTGTTGTTTGGGGTTGTTGATTTTCTGTTGGTATTTTGTTCCATGGATGACAAGGAAAAACAAGTCGAGACTTCGTCGGATAAAACCTGATATAAGAGAAAATTATTAGCTCAAGTTATCGGTTTTAAATTTCGCCCATAGAAGAAACTAATTTTAATATAGTGCTACGGTTCGTTATCCTTAAAAAACGGCTCATAAAAGCAGGTGCAGAAATTATTTAAGTTTACTTGAAAGTTTTTATTTTATTTTTAATTTTTCAGTCGTATAAGTGCAGAAACATCAGTGGAATTATAACAAAGAATTATCACACATGCGACTTCAGTCATCACGCGAATAGATATTCTGTCGGTCATGCTCTATGCCATGCAAACATTCACAAAGAACAGCCTCTGCCGCCTTCAGCGTCTGCAGCAGAGTTAAGGCTCATAGTTCAGCGCCTACAGCAACGTTCAGGTCCCTAGTTCAGCGCCTACAGCAACGTTCAGGCTCCTAGTTCAGCGCCTACAGCAACGTTCAGGCTCCTAGTTTTGCGCCTACAGCAACGTTCAGGCTCCTAGTTCAGCGCCTACAGCGGCGTTCAGGCTCCTAGTTCAGCGCCTACAGCAACGTTCAGGCCCCTAGTTCAGCGCCTACAGCAACATTCAGGCTCCTAGTTTTGCGCCTACAGCAGAGTTCAGGCTCCTATTACAGCTCCTACAGCAGAGTTAAGGCTCCTAGTTCAGCGCCTACAGCAACGTTCAGGCTCCTAGTTCAGCGCCTACAGCAGAATTCCGACTCCTAGTTCAGCGCCTACAGCAACGTTCAAACTCCTAATTCTGCGCCTACAGCAGAGTTGAGGCTACTAGTTCAGCGCCTACAGCAACGTTCAGGCTCCTAGTTCAGCGCCTACAGCAGCGTTCTGGCTCCTAGTTCAGCGCCTACAGCAGCGTTCAGGCTCCTAGTTTCGCACCTACAGCAGAGTTCAGGCTCCTAGTTCAGCGCCTACAGCAGCGTTCAGGCTCCTAGTTCAGCGCCTACAGTAACGTTCAGGCCCCTAGTTCAGCGCATACAGCAACGTTCAGGCTCCTAGTTTTGCGCCTACAGCAGAAATCAGGCTCCTAGTTCAGCCCCTACAGCAGCGTTCAGGCTCCTAGTTCAGTGCCTACAGCAGCGTTCAGGCTCCTAGTTCAGTGCCTACAGCAGCGTTCAGGCTCCTAGTTCAGCCCCTACAGCAACGTTCAGGCTCCTAGTTCAACGCCTACATCAGCGTTCAGGCTCCTAGTTCAGCGTCTACAGCAGCGTTCAGGCTCCTAGTTCAGTGCCTACAGCAGCGTTCAGGCTCCTAGTTCAGCGCCTACAGCAACGTTCAGGCCCCTAGTTCAGCGCCTACAGCAACGTTCAGGCTCCTAGTTTAGTTCAGGCTCCTAGTTCAGCGCCTACAGCAGCGTTCAGGCTCCTAGTTCAGCGCCTACAGCAACGTTCAGGCCCCTAGTTCAGCGCCTACAGCAGCGTTCAGGCCCCTAGTTCTGCGCCTACAGCAACGTTCAGGCCCCTAGTTCAGCGCCTACAGCAACGTTTAGGCCCCTAGTTCATCACCTACAGCAGCGTTCACAGAACTCTAGGCAGCGGTCATTCGCTGTCTCATTCAATTCTTTAAGACATGAGACCAGCTATGCATTGCTTTGTTCTTTTGTGTAGTTCTGGACGTTGCAGTCCCAGGCCACGCTATAGTACGCCGTATGACGGCCCTGAGGCTAAGTAATTTATATGCTGAATAGAGCGCGCTACATGCACGATGAATCTGCGTCAAGTTGATAATGCACGCAGACATGAAATTTTATCATAATAACGTTGTAATTGTATTACCAAACTCCGACTTATCTGTATAGGGACCACATGAGTATTTGCTAATGTATTCTCATATTACCATAAAAATTTTGAATTAATTTGACAGAGATTAGTAAACGTGAAAGCGGCCGCTGTATTTGTTTTTTAGGGCGTCAAATTTTAAAATATTCATTAAGACTCGAAAATTTGTTATGATGCAATGGTAATTTTTGTACGGAATGATCAACCTTTAGCGTAGGGTCCCTTATAAATTTTTAAGTTCCATTTCTTTTGATCTATTCGGAATTTAACAAACTTTAGTATTAAATGTGATGTTAATATTCGTTCCATTGGAGCCGTTTATTTTATGTGTAGAATTGAATTTGTGGAATTTCATATAAAATGCTAAACACCCTGGACAAACAGTCATTTTCGAAGCAAGAATTTTTGTTATATATTTATAATATTGTATCATTCAGTCCACGAGTTTCCACTCATCACAAGCAAAAGGGTCAATTTATTGTTCACTTGCATAGAACATTTCCTATGTGAACCAACACGCACAGCACTCCTGTAACCGGCGACTTTCACTCGTATATACCGGGAATTTCTCTTGCTACATGTCCTGTTACTCAGAACTCCGAACTCGTTACTCAGTCCAGGGCTGTTGTTATTACTCAGTCACCACGCATTGCTCAGCATTGGGCTGAGTCAGCAGAGCCGTGAAAGTGAACTGAGCTCACCATTCTGTGAGATGTTGAGAACTGCTTAATTAATTACTGCTGTACTGGTGCTGTACTAATGATAGCTAGTGGTAGTGCTGGTCCTGTACTAGTGATAGACTGGTACTGTACTCGATAGCTAGTGCTATAGGCATAGTTTCATGAGCTTTAGGTATATTTTAATTAGTACAAGTGATGTTCAATGTATGTATAAGTTTCGTTGTGGTGTAAGTTTCGTTAATGGTATAGTTTCCCATTAAATATAGCTGGAATTTTTAGACAATTGTATGTCTTGCGCAATATTTATCAGGGGGCGCAGCCGTGGGCCACAAATTTATTTCTCAAATAAGCTTTGTACGGTAGCCATTATCCAACCTCAGCATACTAATTAACTACACTCAGCCTCAGAAATAGGGCGCCGCAGGCTACGGTCGAACACTAATATCTAGAACAATGTAACACTGGTTAAAGATAATAGCGCCGTGGGTCTTCAGCCAATATTCCAGTCAAAACTCGCTAAGTGAACGTAGGTATTTACGCTCTATTTTCTTGTCTATGATTGGTGGCTTTTGCTTAAAAGGCCGTCAATGATTGGCTGATAAACTTACGATCTCTTAACTTTTTTTGAAAGTATGGGCCCAGGCAGTTCTGCATCCGGCCCCACATACTCTGGCCTAGCCTCTTCCGGCCTAACCTATACACGCTACCCCGCCCGACTCACAACTTTCTCGTAGCCAATGACTGACCTAACCTATTCACTTGCACCGCTTCTCTTTAACTTCCTGCAACCGATGAGGTTAGCTTAGGTCTGCTCATGTTTATTTTAGATTGAAAAATATTGCGACGTGTGTGGCTACATTCAGCACGACCAGTGGTAGGCACAGTCCGCTAATCCGTTAACCGCTAATTAGCGAAGATGACGTTATCCTTAGACAGTGTGCCACACTGATGACTGACTACGTCAACATATGTACGTCACCAATCATGTCTTGTGTAGCAAAAGACGTGATAGGTTGGTTCCACAAGACGTGATTGGTTGACGTACGTATGTTGACGTAGTCAGCCATCAGTGTGACACACCAGCTAAGGACAAAGTTAGCTTCGTTAATTAGCGGTTAGCGGATTTTCGGACTGTGCCCACCACTGAGTACGACCATGCTTCACTTATCAGGCTTAAGGGTGGCTGTGGGCATATGGCGCTATGGCTCCAAGCACTTGACATCAAAGGCTGCTATGCTCTCCAGCGTGATACACACAGAAATGAATATGAACTAAGTGTGAAGTTGGGCATGTGCATCTCGTTAACTCCTTAAATTATCTTCATTGGTCCAGGTCACCACAGTTCCACGATGCTCGGCTACTCTCTGCTGCTGGTGTCGCTGCTGGGGATAACGCGTGTGGCGGGACATGACTGGGCGTTGGGTGCCTGCCCATCTGTCAAGCCCGTTGATAACCTCGCCGTCGACAAGGTAAAGAATATCATACGATTTATCTCAACAACGACGAATTGGAACAATGTACATAAAAATTTAATTATTGCGCGCTTTCTCAGAAAATACGTTCCAGAAATAAATTATATACTTTGAAGACTTAATTTATTAAAAAAATTCTTCATCAACGTGCAAAATCGTGCTGTTTTTATGTTATTTTCTTGCTTTTCTGCATAATTTTATTCACTTTAATGCTATTTTTATAGGGTTCATCGCTAATGCGTTCGTTGCTGGTGCAACATATTCGACTTCCTTCACCAAAATACTAACTTCTGACGACATCATATTCGTCGTTGATGCATTTACATTTACCTTCTTCACCTAAATGACAACTTTTGAGAACTTCAACTCTAACACGTCCCTTGCTATTGCAGTTCCTGGGTCTGTGGTACGTCATCGAGCAGTTCGACACGTCATCTCTGTGCCTGACTATGGTTAGGTGGCCTCTCAGTCAATATATAAGGGTCAGGTGGCCTCTCAGTGAGTGAGGGTTGGGTGCCCTCTTAGTCAGTGAGTCATGGTCAGATGACCACTCAGTGAAGAATAATCGGGTTGCCTCTCAGTGAGTAAGGGTTAGGGGGCCTCTCATTGAGTATACTCAGGCGCGAGTACCCGAGATCGTTGAGTTCTTTAGCAATTTAAAACATCGTTCTTATGAAATATAAATGATACTCTGTGTTTTTACCAAACGTTCATTATCAGCTTTCAGTATTAGTAAAGTGACTTAAAGCAAAGAGTGAAAACAAAGATATAAATACCAGGGATCTACAAAAGATGAGCTTCAACTCGCCCTGCTAATTCAATCAATATTATGATGTAATTTGATGTATGTAGCTCAAATAGCTTACTAGTCACGGTGAGTGTTAGTAGACCATAGACAGTAATAGCACATTTCTTACGCGCAAATAACGCTGAAATAACATTAATTAACAGTTGATTTGGGTTAAACTATATTTATCTAACCGCTGATTTGCAGCCTAGGGTGGTTACGTACCATTCTAGCAATGGTCATCAAGGTTAAACTGACGAGGAATCTAATTAACAAAAAGTAATCAAACTTTGTAGGTAGCGCAAATTTTAATATCATAAAAAACACAATAAACATGATATCGGATGCTAAACTATATACGGTGTCTGATCACAGTGGATGAAATTATTTTGCATAGGCTGAAAATAAACGGAACATTATTAAATGAAATTTGACAGTATGACTACTTCAAAGAACTTGCCTATAAAGTCATGCGTTTTACGCCACACCACAACAGCCGGCGTCAAGACTAAGAATTAGACTTTCAGGTGTCGCAATAATGAACTTATCAACTACAAACAAAAGCTACGCGCTATGCGTAAAAGCTGCGGCTACAATATATTCAACGTCTAATGTCTGGTGGGCTTATATATATAATCGTATATATAACTTAGCCCTGTTATGAATGCAAGCGGTTGAGACATAAGCATAACAAGGTTGAAATGTTGTAAAAAAACATGTGATCGCAGCTAGAGAGACCAATGCTCCACAATGTTATTCGTACCAGCCCATATACGAGCAGGGGCTGAATTATTCTTTTGATGAATTAACCATGTAATCTCCGCTGAAAATATCAATACTAACAATATTATTCCTACCAGACCTGGCGGAAAAGGGCTAAATTATTCTTTCAATGAATCATCAATGTAATCTCCGCTAAAAAGACCAATACTGACAACGTTATTCGTACCAGACCTGACGGGAAAGGGCTAAATTATTCTTTTAACGAATCATTAATGTAATCTCCCCTAAAAAGACCAATACTGACAATGTTATTCGTACCAGACCTGGCAGGGAAGGGCGATTACATCGTGTTCGACACGGACTACACGCACTACGCCGGCATCTACGAGTGTCAGGCGGTGACGTCACTCATGCACAGGAAGAGCGCCTCCATCCTCTCCAGGGAGCCTACCTTGTCTCCTGACTACGTCGACAGGGTGAACCTTTATTATCAATGCTACCTTTATATCAATATTAATAATAATGTATAGTATATATTAATAATATTATTGTATAGTATTAATAGCATCATATTATGTGTTTAGTAGGTTGGGTTTAGAATATAGTTACGGGATCCAACCATCCATGAATCACGGGATAGTTCGGGGTTCTTGTAGAGCCATATGAACCATCAGAACCATCGGTCTTGTATCAGTTTATTAACCATTTATAAATTAACGTTGTTACATTGTCAGGTAAAACGTCGACTTACGTCAAACATTAGTACCAAATCTCTGTTCCAAATCTATTGGAACGTTTTTTGACGTTTTTTTATTGTCAGGTAAAACGTCGGGTAACGTCGAACTATAGTATTGTATCTCTGTTCCAATTCTATTGTGAACGTTTTTAACGTTGTTTCATCGTCAGGTAAAGCGTCGGCTGACGTCATTCGGCATCGACTTGCGTCACCTGGACCGCATCTCGCACGAGGGCTGCCGCAGCAAGGCTGACGCTGACGTCAACCTGCACGTCGACGGCGACACGCTGACTAACGTCATGTCAGGAGCCAGGGACGGCATCGAGGACGCTGCTAACACTGTCAGTTCCTGACACTAGTGACTGACATTAGTGACTGACACTAGTGACTGACACTAGTGACTGACACTAGTGACTGACACTAGTGACTGACACTCGACACTAGTCACTGAAAGTGTGTCTTTTTTAGACAACGTAACCCATTCATTAATATGACACTAAGAGAAATGAGCGAGACTTTGTTCCTAATAGTGATGTACATGTTGCCTGGTATATCAGTGCTACGTAATGAATTATTACGTACATTTTTGTTACGTACAGTACATTATTTGGACAACGTAACCCATTCATTATTCTGAGTGTAGTTCTTAGATTTATTTATTCATTTATTCATTGCCTTCAGCTTTTACGATTTCCTTACTTTAGGATTGTTGATTGGAAGCACATTTTATCCATTAATGTCATATTAATTTATATTGAGCTTGAGGTGGCCGAGTAGTTGAAATCACCAAGATTTTTGTAACTATTTTGCGGGTTCGAAACTCGCAACTGGTTGTGAAAATTCTTGTCAAAATCGGCAAGCTGATCGCGTGGTTAGAATCAGTAATACACCAACGTGGGTAGTAAAAAACGGACACCAATACATTATATTATATTGTATTGTACTGTATTGTATTGTAATATATTATATTATATTATACCATATTATATTATATTATATTATATTATATCATATTACATTATAATATAATATATTACATTGAAAGTCCTGAATTACGTCTCGATGTACTCATACATGCAACGCTGCAGCTGTAGATGAAATCGTTGTAAACAGCAATTTACAACGATTTCATCATCATTTCATTCCTCCTTACGAATTTCCTTCTATTATAAAAAGATGAAGCGTTGTTACATACAAATACCGCCTTTATACTAATAAAACGATTGTGATTTCAGTTCATCAACGGCATCCGTGGTATAGCAACAACGGTCTCGAATGTCACACAAAACACCTTCAACAATTTCCCCGGCATTACCACCAGCACATTCGGAAATACCGTCACTAATACCCCTAGTACTGGTTTCGGTGGTAGCTCAACCACCACCACGAGCCCTGCAACCACGAAGAGTGTTGATGTGAACATCAGAACTGGTAGCACTGTTCCGGATGAAGATGTGAACAGCGTTCTTACTGAAGACAATCTCGAGGAGAACTTCTACTCTGTTGCTAACAGTTCTATCACGCCATCGGAGGACGAAATATATCGGGTGGTCAGAACTGAGTAGGTTGGTCGGGTGGTAAGAACTGAGATAGGTTGGTCGTTTGGTCAGAACTGAGTAGGCTGGTCGGGTGGTCAGAACTGAGTAGGCTGGTTGGGTGGCCAGAACTGAGTAGGCTGGTCGGGTGGTCAGAACTGAGTAGGTTGGTCGGGTGGTCAGAACTGAGTAGGCTGGTTGGGTGGTCAGAACTGAGTAGGCTGGTCGGGTGGTCAGAACTGAGTAGGTTGGTCGGGTGGTCAGAACTGAGTAGGCTGGTCGGATGGTCAGAACTGAGTAGGTTAGTCGGGTGGTCAGAACTGAGTAGGCTGGTCGGATGGTCAGAACTGAGTAGGTTGGTCGGATGGTCAGAACTGAGTAGTTTACCCCTATAATACTGAACGTACAACACGCATCACTGAAAAAATTACTTTTACAGAACCATGGGTATAATAATATCGGACAGTTATAGGGAAAAATTACTTCAGGCAATGATCCCTCATTACGACTTCACGCAAGTGCACTTACGTTCAGCTTGTCCAAAGTTCAAGGTTAGAACAAGAACAAAGCTCTATAAGGTCAAAACTCGAATAAAGATCTATGTTAGAACTAAGCATTGTATCTTATTAACGGGATAATGATCTATATACCATCGAGGCATTAGCCATATGTCATAATTATTCTTATTGTTAACGAAGAAATTCATATTTCAACTCTATTTACCCTTGTTTTATTCTAGTTGTTTGTATGTCTACGTAGATATTAACTATCACATAAAATACAAGTAGCACGCAAGTATATAACGTTTAAAATATAACGAATCTCACCAACATATACAAATATATTAACATGCCTTGTTTTCCTTAAGTAAATGAGTTAATTAATTTTTTATTATCAAAATATACTCTTTGCTTTTGAATCTTATTATAACTCCATACTGCACAGAGAAGCGGGAAGGATCTAGATCTAGATGATCCTGATATAGATGATCCTGATCTAGATGATCCTGATCTAGATGATCCTGATCTAGATGATCCTGATCTAGATGATCCTGAACAAGATGATCCTGATCTAGACAACTCTTCTATTTTTTCCAGTAAATATGGCCACGTTAATCTTTTTTTTAACCTTAATCGCGGTGAATTATTTCATTTTAGTAAATAATATTCAAAGGTGTATTTTTTTACCAATTTTTGTTTTACAGTAGAGTTTATAAGTAAATTAAAGTTATTTAGCTTCAATGGATAAACTTTCAGAAATATCGGAAATTAATTTGGGGTATAAATCTAGGGAAATCTTGACTAGAATCGGATTTCACGTTTATTTATTAAAAGCAGATTTAATAATTAGTAGATTTTTATTGGAAAATTTTTGATAATGAGTATGAAAAAATGAAGGTAAATACATTTCGGAATTGGGATACCAGCAATATTTGGATGGCTGTTATTTTCTAATACATAATTCGTCTCGTTGTCTTAACAGTTTCCATTGGCTCGATATTTGAGGGGAAATTCCGTTTTCTGTTATACGCTCCGCCCAATGATACGGACTCGACACGCCCTCTGCGATATTAGAGGGAACTCTTCCCTCACTTCCCCCACGTCCCTCACTTCCCCCACGTCCCTCACTTCCCCCACGTCCCTCACTTCCCCCACGTCCCTCACTTCCCCCCAACAACCATATTTACAATTAAAGGGAAGCCAGTATTTTCCAAAGCGGCCAGGATGTAAAATTAAAAGAATTAAATAAAATTTTTATAATTAAGATCCATAAGTGTTACTTAATACTAATTAGTTACAAAAAAAACTAATAGGAACAAAATAAGCAGATAACAATTATAAGTCCTTAATAGCCTATGAGTCTACGATTGATTAATTCGTCTTGAATTTACCGCTCTTCAAACCCAGCGTTATCTGCGTGATAAACAATTTTCTGATAATATTATTTACTAATATAAGAGATTAATATAATAGACAGACAATATAGAATATAATATGATGATAAATTTACTATTGAATAAAGAGCTAACAATTTCTGGACAAGGTTCTTCAATTGTCAACCTGATTCGAAACATTACTTTTGCCACAAATGATGTCAATTGACTGGAGTATTTTTGCTGCCATTATTTCATACATAATTGCTGCGCAAAATGTTCAGTATTTTCAACATTATTTCTGTTCAAATAATAATTACATTCAGCAACATTACCGTTTCTGCCTTAAATACTGTACATTATAATGCGGTAATCATCTCGATGTTATATTACCTCGAACATTTCTGCCTTTGAATTACCATCATAGAAAACATTGCTCTGCATCCAAATATAATTATTTCGAACATTGTTTTTGCCAAAATAAACATCATTTCAAGCATAGTTTGCCCGAAATCTTCAACATTTCAAGAATTCTCACCGTCCAACGTAAAATAATTATTTTGAACATTATTTGCGGCCAGCTTTACGTTCACGCCTGTCACGTCGGCGCTGGTAAGTCTGGTGCACATGGTCTGGCTTGAGGACTTGACGGTCTGTCTACCTTGGTGGTCTGGCATTAGGGCTTGATGATCTGGCTTGATGGTCTGGCTTGAGGACTTGACGGTCTGTCTACCTTGGTGGTCTGGCATTATAAGGGCTTGATGGTCTGGCTTGAGAACTTGACGTTGGTAAGTCTGGTGGTCTGGCATTAGGACAGCAACAGATGTACACTCAGAACAATGAATGGGTCATATTATTCATATAGTGATACACTGTTCGTTCGTAGCACTGATACGTGTCAAAGGACGCGCTCATGACTGGAGCTCATATATTAATTACCTTAGGATCGGGTTCGTTGACTAAGGTAGTGAGGGATAAGTAAGACACATCTGTCCAGATAACGTATCTTGTATACGGGGTGGTTATACAGAGTCTATCAGGTCAAGTGAATATTACGTCTCAATTACATACAATATATACATATAATGATTATAATGATTATAATGAGACGCCAGATTGACACCGGACATACGCGCCAATGCCGCGTCAAATTTGATCAGGATGAACGTACATGTGAGTCGCTATTCTGACAAAATCTCACCTATTTTGTGAGTGTAAAATGAACTCGAAGGGAGACAGCCAAGCGACGCGCTTCAGTTCCCTCTTCAATAACGCGCACTTCAGTTTAAGTCCCTCACTTCCCCCACGTCCCTCACTTCCCCTCAACAACCATATTTACAATTAAAGGGAAGCCAGTATTTTCCAAAGCGGCCAGGATGTAAAATTAAAAGAATTAAATAAAATTTTTATAATTAAGATCCATAAGTGTTACTTAATACTAATTAGTTACAAAAAAAACTAATAGGAACAAAATAAGCAGATAACAATTATAAGTCCTTAATAGCCTATGAGTCTACGATTGATTAATTCGTCTTGAATTTACCGCTCTTCAAACCCAGCGTTATCTGCGTGATAAACAATTTTCTGATAATATTATTTACTAATATAAGAGATTAATATAATAGACAGACAATATAGAATATAATATGATGATAAATTTACTATTGAATAAAGAGCTAACAATTTCTGGACAAGGTTCTTCAATTGTCAACCTGATTCGAAACATTACTTTTGCCACAAATGATGTCAATTGACTGGAGTATTTTTGCTGCCATTATTTCATACATAATTGCTGCGCAAAATGTTCAGTATTTTCAACATTATTTCTGTTCAAATAATAATTACATTCAGCAACATTACCGTTTCTGCCTTAAATACTGTACATTATAATGCGGTAATCATCTCGATGTTATATTACCTCGAACATTTCTGCCGTTGAATTACCATCATAGAAAACATTGCTCTGCATCCAAATATAATTATTTCGAACATTGTTTTTGCCAAAATAAACATCATTTCAAGCATAGTTTGCCCGAAATCTTCAACATTTCAAGAATTCTCACCGTCCAACGTAAAATAATTATTTTGAACATTATTTGCGGCCAGCTTTACGTTCACGCCTGTCACGTCGGCGCTGGTAAGTCTGGTGCACATGGTCTGGCTTGAGGACTTGACGGTCTGTCTACCTTGGTGGTCTGGCATTAGGGCTTGATGATCTGGCTTGATGGTCTGGCTTGAGGACTTGACGGTCTGTCTACCTTGGTGGTCTGGCATTAACCCTCTTCAATAACGCGCGCGATATGTCAGCGATCGTCAGCGCCAGCCGTTACCAGGCCGCGGCTGCAGTTGTTGCTGACGTTATTGAAGCAGAGGCTCTTATTGATTCTCTTGTTGTTATTGATGCGTGAGCTGCTAGAGATGCTGATGCTGCAATTGATGCCAAGGCTTTTATTAAAGCTGATGCTTTTATAGACGCTCATGCTGGTTATTGAAATTAATGCCGGTTTGATGCATTGGATTTATTTGATGCCTAATTTGTTTGGTGTTAACGCTCTTATTGATGCAGATGCTGCTATTGTTAATTCTAGTAGTGATATTTGTTTCATCAGTAACGAATTTGAAGAAAAATGTTACGCCGAGACCACGGCGTTACGTAAATAACGCTATTTTGCGCTGCTTGACGCGAAGTTCTGCGAAATGTATTTCATGTAAGAGTAAGTAAGTACTAAGTACTTTATGTACGAGAATTTAAGTGCTAAGTACTTGATGTACGAGAAACATATATTACCTAAATCATCTATAGTTTGAAAAACGACATAAATGCGGACGATATATGTAGTTTCCGCGAATTTGATGTCCCTATACCATCCATGGTTCAATATATGTGCCATACGACTCATTTTATATTAGAAATATTAGAATAAGTACACCATCAAGTTCTATATGCATAATACTTAGTTGGGATATATTTTTGCATCTGGTTCTATACCGTCAACGAAAACGTACTAGAAATGAACTCTTATACTTCAACGTTTTCATTGAAGATATGGTGAATTTACTTGTCGTTTTCAAGGTTTTAAAATTCTCGCTAATTTTTTGATGTTGGCAAGAAATATTGCAGTTAGGAAGGCCACCCCAGAGCAGACGTCGCCCGCGTCACGTGGCGCAGGAGCGGCGGCCGCGCGGCGCAGACGTGACGACGCGACAGCGCAGATTTCATTAAATGATTACGCATGTGAAACGCACGCGCTAATCGATACGCACTTGCATCTTCTTGAACGCGCAACATTTTAAACATAAGGTAATGTTCTTTTATTATTAAATAGTTTGTGATCATTAAGAAATATATAGTGTAGATATTAACCATAGGCGTTTTCTTTGCTTTCAAATTCTTGTTGAACTTGAGCGCGACAACACGATTCAAGACTGATTGCTAATAATATAGGTACTCAAAAAAAGGTAGTCTTAGCATCGAAATGTACACAGATAAAACCTACATAGATGAGAAGAAATCGGTCAACATTTCAAACGTGTTCATATTTAAATGGTAGAAGTAAGTTTAAACTAACGCGTGAAGTATGCAGGTATTTTTAAGCTAAAGTGGGTAAGATAGAGTTAATTCTTAGACGAAAACGAGACTGCTAGATTATGAATTTTAGCATAACACCACCAAAAACGATATATTATAAAAAGTAAAGAACCGTGACTCTAAACTTTTTGGCTATTTAATTACTGGAGCAAAAGCGCGACCGTCGTACACTCATAGGCAACAGTGCGGCTTTGTTTGAATATCGACGCACTTTTTGCCCTTCTGTACCTCATCCTAACCCAGTTTGGCTTGACAACAGCACGTATCACTGCTACCTCATGCAGCGCTTGCTATGGATAAGAAAGTGTGTCACTATTTCGACATTGACCCATCATTTTTCCGACTCTAACACGAATATTTCAAAACACTCGAGCGGACGCCATATCGGGCGATGGGTAAGGAAGTGTGTCACTAATTGGACACTGACCCATTGATTAATGAAGTAGCCTGCAGGAGCACTTCAAACAGACCCTGGGGCGGACGTCCTCGTGTAATAGGTAAGAAAGTGTGTCACTATTTGGACATTGAACCATTGGTTTTCTGAGTGTTGCCTGCAGGAGCACTTCAAAACAGACACAGAGCGGCCGCTCGCATGCCATTGATTATTTGATGGCCTTTTGATTTGCGAGGATTTTGGTGTGCAGGAGTCAGAG